CCTTCCTCATCTCATTTTCTCTACTCGGCTCATGGGTTGGTGGAATTCTGTAATCTGTGGAATAACGAGATATCCGTTTCCATTCACTAATGGACTTGATGCAGGTTTCAGAATATTCGTGCCAATAATGCACTGCAGACAGTGGGGGGCAGGGGTGTGCAGGAAGGTGTGGGGGACAGGAAGCAATGATTGAAGTCCTCTCCATAAGCGTATGGGTGTGAAGGTCAGAGATCTAGCGACATAGCAAGATCCACAGTGAAAGTTCAAGGTTTAAGTACCTTGTGGAGTAGAAGGATATTTGAAGGTCGACTGTGATAATTAAACATACATATTGCAATTTCTAGAAATATGTTGCCAAGAAAACCTTTCCACAATGATAGAAATGGGCTAAATTTGTGCTGTCCAGTTGGTAGCCAGTTGCCACATGAAGCATAGCCCTAAAGTGTGAGGGTAAAAACAAACCTAAGAAAGAAAAGATTCTGTTTTTCTTGGTGCAAAAAGGGAGAGACTTTCCCTCCGCTCTCCTCTTTCTCAGAGTATTCACTTTAGAAAACTTACATTGCTAATTCTTTCTCTGCCCCTTTCCGATACTATAGAAACCTTTTTAAAAATTTATTTTATTGGGGCGCCTGGGTGGCGCAGTCGGTTAAGCGTCCGACTTCAGCCAGGTCACGATCTCGTGGTCCGTGAGTTCAAGCCCCGCGTCGGGCTCTGGGCTGATGGCTCAGAGCCTGGAGCCTGTTTCTGATTCTGTGTCTCCCTCTCTCTCTGCCCCTCCCCCGTTCATGCTCTGTCTCTCTCTGTCCCAAAAAAATAAATAAACGTTAAAAAAAAAATTTTAAAAAAAAATTTATTTTATTTTAGACAGGGAGGGGGAGCAGAGGGAGAGAGAGAATGTTCAGCATGTAGTCTGATGCGGGGCTAGATCCCACAGCCCTAGGATCAAGACTTGGGCCAAAATCGAGAGTCAGATCAGACGTGCAACCGACTGAGCCACCCAGGTGCCCCAGATACTATATAAAACTTTTAAAAACGAAACGAGCTTTTTGTCAGCTTTACAAGCAGCAATGTCTTTGTCTAAAACCTGGGAGCCTTCTCTCTGAACACCAAAGGTGCGAACATCAAGGAAGATAGCACCTCTATCTCCCTTTCTCCTCGAGCATCTGGCTCTAGGCTGTCACTAGCTACCTGTCATAGAGACATTAGAAATCTTATTTGTTTGGATGCAGGCAATCAGCAACACGATGGCCACCCCAATCCAGGTGAATTTAAGATGAGCTGTATGTGACCAATGATGCTGAAAGTTCTTGCTTGAAGACAAGTTCTCATTACCTTGTGAACATGCATGTAACGGGTTGTGACTGCCTGGCTATCTATGAGATTTCAGTTTCTTTGTGGGTTGCTTGTGATGCACCTCCCATTCTGGCACAATGCTTATTCAATAATAAAGCTGTTCTCTCTCTCTTCTACTCTTGTGGAGAATTTGTTTTGGTTGGCAGATTTTTTATTTAATGTCTATTTATTTATTTGAGAGAGCAAGAGAGCGAGAGCACAAGTGGGGGAGGGGCAGAGAGAGAGGGAGACACAGAATCTGAAGCAGCAGGCTCCAGGCTTTGAGCTGTCAGTGCAGAGCCCGACATGGAGCTCGAACCCATGAACCGAGAGATTGTGACCCGAGCCGAAGTCGGATGCTTAACCGACTGAGCCACCCAGGTGCCCCTAGTGGCAGGAGATATTTTTAATTGGATTTTCACAAGAGCAACTAGTTAAAAGATCAGTAGAAGGGCTACGGTGGAATCCTCGAATGTTCAACACGCAAAGGAAGGCAGGAAAGGAGCATAGAAACGAAAAAACCAGATAGGACCAAGAGAAAACAAATACCAAGATGGAAGGCTTAAGCTCGTCAATATTAAAAATTGAAGCAAGTAGACTAAAACCTTCCATTCATTCAAAGTGTTAAAATGGACAAAACAGCAAGACCCATGTCTATATTTATAAGAAATACATTATAAAGTTGAGAGTAAAAAGTTAGAAGATATACCATGCATAAGAAAGACGGTGTGTCAATGTTAATGTTAGCAAAGCAGATTTTAAGACAAAGAATATAATCAAAGAGTGATATTCCATAAAGATAAGAAAGGGTCAATTCTCTGAAGAGACACAATGCTAAATGTATTTATGTTATTAATGCAGGGAAAACAAGTTTAAAAATACAGGGAGCAAAACTAGAAAATATTAAATGAGGAATAAGTGCCACAATCAGCCAGAGATTTTAATATCCTTCTCTCAGCAATTAATAGAAAAAGTAGACCAAAAAATCAGTAATGATAGTAGACTTGAATTACACTAAAATAGTGAAGCCAGGAAATTTTGGTATGTTAAAGAGGTAGATTTATTTATTTTTTTTATTAAAAATTTTTTTAATGTTTATTTATTTTTGAAGAGAGAGCATGAGTGGGAGAGGAGCAGAACAGAAGACACAGAATCCAAAGCAGGGTCCAGGCTCTGAGCTGTCAGCACAGAGCCCAACGCGGGGCTCAAACCCACGAACCGTGAGATCATGACTTGAGCCAAAATCGGACACTTAACTGAGCCACCCAGATGCCCCAAAGAGGTAAGATTTAGTTATCTTAATATTGTTATTTGAAGCCCCTCATTTCTTGGTGTTACTTCATAAGCAACATCTTACCGAATACCTTTTGATGTGGTGGTGATGGGAATATGGTCTGTAGAGACTCATAAAATCAACCAAAAATTGCTCCCATGTACCACTTGGGGTGGGAGCCCTGAGGTCACAGAAATACAACATGGTCTTTATGCTTTAGGGTGTCTTGAGGCACCAGTGTTGTGAAATATTTATTAATGTGACATTATAGTATATGCAGAAACTCTGATCTTTTCCCTTGTAAACTGTAACAAGTAACTAAAACAGCTTTTTACCATTCATTGAATGGTCTCACCTCTTTGGGTTAGATGTGTAAGCATTCTTTGGCTGAGCCCCGTAGGTTCCCCAAATGTCACTTTGTGGGCAGAGAGCCAACTCCAGTCCCTTAGGAACAAGGTTGCCAGACTGGGCAAATAGAAAAGGGAGTGCCCGACTAAAGTCGAATTTCAGATAAACAACAGATCATTTTTCACTATGGGACACGTTTACACTGAAATATACCTGAAATTAAAATTTACCTGGGCCTTCTGGAAATGATGCTCTTCTAAGGAGGCTGGCTGAGCTGAATGTAAGCAGTTCTAATTCAAGTGCCAAAGTCGAACACACGCCTGCTTTCGGGGTGCTCTCTCCTCTAATGTACAATTATAGTCCTTGTAAAATATGATGGAACAGTAAAAAATATGGAAAAGGGTTGCTCAAAGGTCATCTTTTTATTTAAATATTTTATGATGATACACATACAAATATAATCTCCCAAGGAACAAAGGTAAGACCTAATACAAATCACCGTTTCAGGTACAAAAAACCATTTAGAAAATGTGATTATGCTGCATACAGGAGACAGGTTAGGTTTTCCAAGTCTGTCCAGGGAGGATGGTTAAGACCATCTTTGGTTTGTTTGGGGTACATAGGTCATATTTACATTTCACGCAGTAATGATATTCCTGTTGCATATGTGGCAAAATATAACTACTAAGTCTGCAATAGAAAAAAAAGCTGCAAATACTAAGTAGAGAGTAAAAAATTTAGATCATGGAAGATTGACCTTCATCTTGGCCACAGACTTATGATATTTAAAAATATTTGTCTTTTACCCATACACAGTCAGTCAGTAGGAGCAAAACATATCAATCTTTTGTATAACATAATTCAAGTCAAAAATATTTCTGACTATATATGGCTATATATATACTTTGAAACCTTAAATGCTCTATTTCTTCAAGGAGCAATAAAAACACAACCTACTTAAAGGCCAAAATACCCAAATAACTTTTCACAATGAAAGGCAAGGATAACATACAAATTCAGGCTTTGTTCAATAGTTCAACTGAATATTTAATATTCATGAAGTAAGTCATGACTGGCCAGTCAGTAACCTTGAGACATAGAATAAAATCATAATTTCAAACTCATAATTACTGATACCATAGGGTTTTTCAGTATTTTTCTTATAATTGTATATAAAAGAGAATGGTTTCCAAAATTTGGTTTAATTCCACAAATATTTATTTGGCACTCATTTTATGTACTAAGGATATATAGCAATCAAACGGGTAGCTTCTTATCACAGTGGAGAATCCAGTCTCGTGGTTAATTTAGCTGTACAAGATTAGAAGATAATGTATCCTGAGTTTTAAAAAAACAGTGTATTATTACTATAAAAAGTAGAGCGAGTTTATATTTATGAATTTTGCCCTGGATCATTCAACTGAATTTGAAGTATTCATTATTTTCATGATTTTGGGGAGGCAAAGGGAAGCGATAATGCTATTTCTAAAGTCCTACCACACACATGCACAGAAATCTACGTGTGTTCTTTATCATGCCAACGTTCCATAATTCAGTCAGCCTAACAGATTAAAAGGCCCGGCTCCTAGTCTAGAAAGAAAACAAGCAAAACCAGTTGTCCAGGCTGTGCTCATATTTTTGGATAAACGTGTGGATAACCTGCCAGGTGCAGTAAAGCATGGAATAGAGAATGGCAGTGTGGACCGTGAGTGCAAAGACTCCCAGTCAGTTTCAGGGATGGCTCTACTGGAGAGCTCATGCAGTGGACACTCTGTGTCAATGTGGCAAACTCTTAAAGCCAGATTTACTCTCTCTTTAACCTGCTTTCTGGCCATAACTGTCTGGACATAACTCATTAAAAGGCACTTAAGACACAGTCTCATCGTTATGCCCCCAGTGAGCCCTGGAGCATTTGTGAAGGACACACTTGGAGGCTGGGACAGCGAGGTCGGCTGTGTGTTAGTGACTGAGAAAAGTGTCAAGCCCCGTGTGTATGTGTCTTACGACCGGAGGCTCATCAAAAGAGAGGTCCGTTGGAAACATGAAGTCAGTCACTGCTAGCTAAACTCTGGGTCAGACTGCGGTCGACAGGGGTTGAGGAGTAGGAATGCTGCACGACGCTGCGCTTGGAGACTCTGGTGGAAGATGTAGTTACAGTAGAATTAGAAAGACCAGACTCCTCTAAACTGAAATTTGGCAGAGGGCCAGGGCCTCTGGCTCCAGAAACCTCTGTCTTTCTGGCCATCACAGAGGTTTCAGCAGGAATCTGGTAACTGGATTGCAGCGTGGGGACAGCTGTTCGTACTCTTTCTGTCACTGTCACGTTCTGTCCTGCTGCCACACCAGGCACGGCCAGAGTGGGCTGCACGCCTGGGCTGGGGGTGAGGAAGCTCTCTCTCTCCCTCACCATCACATAATGTGCATCTGGCAGAGGCTGAGTGCCTTCCAGAGGACCAGGGATGCCCCCGTTAGGCTGTATTATTCTCTCGGTAACCATGACACTACCGTCATTAGCATAGTGCTGGTCTACCAAGGGAGGGGCTGGAGCATACACCCGCTCCGTCACGATGAGGGCCTGTGGCTGTCCAGGACCCAGGATCACGGTGCTTGGTGGCATCGTGGAGCCTGTGGCATAGGAAGTTTCTGTCACTACAACATTGCCAGAAGCCAACGGATCAGAGAGCAGTGTAGCTACCTTCTCACTCTGCCTAGAAGATATGGATCTTTCAGTGACTATTTCCTGAGTTACTTTCTCCGCATTTCCTTCATGCGAAGGTTTGGGAACTCGAAAGCTACTGCCCGAGGAGTAGGCATTCTCTGCGTGAATCCTAGTTTTCTCATCGAATGAATGTGAAGCTGCCTTCATACTTGATTCTCCCACAGGTTTTTGCTTCTGCTCAATTTTCACATCCATGTCTATCTTTTGACCCAAGCAAACTTCGGCTAGTGTCCTGAATTTAAGCCCTAAATCATCTAGAAAGTGATCATCGAGCTCTCCTTCAATGAAACTGCAACAGCCAATGGAGCCGTGTAGAGATGCAGTGTCTTCCTGAGAATAAACCAGAAGGCAATCTTTGGCTATGTGAATGTCATCTTCCTCAGTATAAGAAGCAGCTTTCTAAAATAGAAATAAAAACAGAGGCACAAATTAGTGACACAACTTCACTTAAGAATGAGACTATATTCCTGCCCCAAAAGCGCAGCCTGAGTCTAATTACAAGAAAACATCAGAGAAACACAAATTGGGCATCCTACAACACAACTGGCCTGTATTCTTAAAAAAATATTCATGTTCTGAAAGGTAAGAAAGGCAGGACTTCTGGATGGGGTCTTGGACAGGAAAAACAATGGCTATAAATGGCATTATTATGATCATTGGCAAAATCAAAATATGGAATATGTCACTGTTATGTCTCAAAATTTGTTCATTGTACTGTGTAAGAAAATGTGCATGTATGTGTGTCATGTGCATGTGTGTGTGAGAGAGAAAGAGTGAGGGGGGTGGAGGGAGGAAGGGAGGGAGAGAAAAGCAAATAGCAAATGTGGGAAAGGGTTAATAATTGGGTAATCTGGGTTAAGAATATACAGGAGTTCAAAATTTCTACTGTTCGTGAAAATTTTCTGGAAAGTTTGAAATGATTTCTGAATTAAAAACTGCTCACATACATACACAACGAAGACTGACTTGAGCAGGGTTAGAGTGGAGAGGGGAAACTATCCAAATGAAACCAACAGGGCACCAGAACGGAGCTCGGCAGCGAGACAGAAGGGGGATGAGAAGTGGTTCTCCTTGACCCTGACCACATCACCACCACCCTGTCAAGCTAATGGGGTGGGCAGGTGATCTGAAAGAAGGGAGGGTGGAGGGAGACAGGAAGTGGGAAAGCACTCCAGTAATTTGCAACCATGCAGAGAACGGACATAAATAAACTGGTCTCCACAGAAGCCCATCTCCTTCCTTGTCTCAAGTGTCCTTCAGATGCTCAACACTCTGATTCTGCCCATTCCTGTGTGGGGCACAGGGACCTTGTTCTCAAGAAAGGTATCCAGCCTTGCTTCTGCTTTTTCTTCTTTTTTTTTAATTCAGAATTTTAAGTGTTTATTTATTTATTCTGAGAGAGAGATTTAGAGAGTGAGCAGAGGAGGGGCAGAGACAGAGGGGGAGAGAGAGAATCTCAAGCAGGCTCCACATTGTCAGCACAGAGCCGGATGTGGGGCTTGAACTCACCAACTGTGAGATCATGACCTGAGCTGACATCAAGAGTCAGATGCTTAACCGACTGACCCACCCAGGCGCCCCCCAAGCCCTGCTTCTAATTCCTAATTCCAGGCATGAGCTTTCTGACTGCATCCCATCATCTTTCTGGCAATTTTCCTCCTAATTTTTTTTGTAAACTGCCTCAATAGTGAAGCTACATAGGCAAAATTTAAATGGACATAATAGACTGTGGTTTTTAGGTCACAGATTCCCTCTGCTCCTGGCAGGGTCAAGTCTGTCAAGTCTGCTCCTGCAGAGTTACTGAACTTTCTGACCCACTGACATCTGGCTTGGTCATGTGATTTGCTATGACCAATGAAACGTGAGCACAAAAAGGCAGCCGCTGTAGGATCCATCATTGCCTGGTTCTGTGTGACTCTTGCCTGTTTCCCAAGGATGGAGCTGCCCAGTGCCCTGGTACAATCTGCTCTCTCGGCATGTGGCTTGGAATGAAGACAACATGGAGAAGAGCAGAGCTGTGTCAACTGGCAAAGACATGAATGTGAGAAATAAGCCTCTGCAAGAAGTCAGATTACGGGGTCGTTTGTTATCACTGAGTAACTGAGCTAACTCGTGTAATGGGTCACATCACTCTTTCCTCACTGCCTAGAAACATTTTCTTAAACGATGACAAAGTCCTATTTAGATCCAAGGCAATGATTACCCTAATAATACCACATTCACCTCTAAATGTCCCCTCCCCCACCTGGCATATATAAAAACCAACCTTTACCTCAGCGAAATAACTTCCTAAGAATTCCTCGCTCATTGCAACAGCAGCTGTTCGAGCTCCGGCCATGTCTCTGGAAGACCCCATGACTCTTGTGCTCCTTAAAGTTTCGGCACCTATGTTGGCTCCTGTTGTCCCTGTCACTTGGGCAACTGCAGCAGAAATGAAGTTTCTGTGTTCTTCCCACCTTCCATCCACCTCACACATCTCATGTTGCCCTTTGATGAAGGAAGCAGAGCCGCCTCCTTTCACGATGGTTTCTTTGGTTGTCATACTTCCTCCCACTCCACTGCCTGCTGCTACGCTCTCTCCATGATCTGCTGTCAGAAGCAATGGCACCACCTGTGACAGCAAATACAGTTGAGAACTGAGAAGGATGGAGTACAGTTGGTAGGAGGATCTGAGCCAAGTGGGCCTATCAAGGGAATAAGCTATTTCCACAGAGGCAAATTAGGAAAAATATTTTGGCTTGAGTAACTTCTATTTGAGCCTTCTGAAGATCTCCACTCCACCTTCTTGTTTTGTTAGCTGATTATAACCCAAGGAGAAAAAAAAATTATTTAAATATATTCTCAGCTCATTTACTCTATGGGCATCAACGGCATTTCAACTTTCCTTTAGAGTGTAATGTCTTCTTCTATGGTTATTAAACCTTTATTTATTTATTTATTTGTTTGTTTGTTTATTTATTTATTTATTTTCTAGCTGGAGATATACATGGCTGCTTCAAAGAAAATCTCTATTTCCAAGCCTCCATTGCTATTAGGAATAGTGACCTGACAAGTTCAGGTTAATATGATTTCAAGCAGAAATGGGGTATGCAACTTTTGGGAAATGTTTTTCAAGAGCGGTTTTCTGATCTGCTTGTTGGAATGTGGGGACAGCAGCTAGTGTATGGAGCATGAAGGCCATATGGGAATGGAACTCATTCATGGAGGAACAACAAGAAAGGAGGCACCTGGGGCCAGTTGTACAGGAATCACCACATGGGACCTAGACTGCTCACATTTATATTTACGCCTGTTTTTCTGAGTTCTCTGGCACTTGATGCTAAATCATATCCTATTGAGCATGATGCTTATTGCAGATGGTGATGACAGACCCGGGGTGAAGTTGGGAGAGACAAGAGGAGAGGGGATTTGGCGACATTTTATAATTGTCACGGGGGTGGTGGGTTTACCTCTGCCAGCCCTATGTATCAAAAGGAATGGAAATTAGAAGCACATCCTTCATTCCCTGCGTCATTACCCGACCTGACCCTGTTTCTAGATTTTCGGTAACATAGAACCTATCACAGTAGAGCAAAACCACTTCAACTCTGCCCTGGCAACAAGCACAAAATATGTTGTCATTTGAACCCTCTGTTTAACAAAGACGTGTGAATGAAATCCATAATGGCCACTTTACTCTCTCATGACTTAAAATGTTAGAAACACTTCCCAAGGGCCCTTTAAAATCAGGAAAGAAGACATGTTCCATTGACATCTGATGATCTGACCTTGTCTTCAGGTGGCGCCCCTTCGTTATTCCAAGGATGCAGCATCTCTATAGTGCCCGGAATGGGGGTGAAGCCTTTGGCACCCTCTCCACAATGGCACATCAGCAGTAAAAGCGGTACAACTGGACAGAAACAAAATGCAGTCAGGACCAGGTTAGTCCCCACATATTTCTAAACGTATCTTCAAATTTTGGAATTTGCATATCGCTTCTTAGAGTTCAGTCTTCACTTATGCACAGCCTTATTTTTGCATTTTTCTTTTCTTCACGCTGATCCAAAGTCCCCAAGACAAGCTTGTACCAAAGCCTAACAAGCAGGATGAGGAAGTATTGTAAATTCAGAGTCCTCATTCCTCAAAAGCAGCCTGTGTATTGTTGCTGGGTGGCATACCAAGTCTGGATTTGATAGCATATGAATCATCAAAACTAATTTAAAGATTTAAATCTCTTGTTGTTCTTTTAAACCGATTTTTTTAATATGAGAAAATTCACTATCCCCCCAAAATATATTTGTTAAAAAGATCAAAAGCTCCCAGGGTAGGAAAATTTTAATATGTTCAAATATTCTAGAACACTGGAACTTCTATAATACTTTACCACTTTATCCTGGAGTAGAATTCAGCAGAAGGCATGACTCACTGAGGTTCAAATTAACATTTGAATTACCTGAGTATTATTTTCTAAAATGACTCTACATTAAAAACCCTTAAAATATATATAACATTTCATTTAGAATTCAGTAAAATTTCAGAGCTCCCTTCTTAAATTCTATTCTGCTTCAGGGAGGAAGTGAAAGCCAATGTTGTTTTCTTGATCGATGTAATAAAGAATTAACTACACCGGTAAGCAGTCCATCTCAAATTAGGTTTTATTGCCATTTCCATCTGGCAGCTTCCAAAGATGAACTGACTACTTCCTAGATTCCTTTTTGTGTTAAATAGTTGACAGCTCAGTAAATATAGCCACTGTGAGTAAAAAAATTGAAATTAGCCAGTGGCAAGCAACTCAATCATTTCAACAAATTTAACAAATGCTTATCAAGGGTCTACCATGCGCCGAGTACCACATTTGGCCCCTTGGCCCCGGGGAGTCTGAAATGAGAAGGCAATGCAAGGGGTCTCTGGGTAAAAAATGTAGTCCCAGCTCCAGTACCCACCTGCAGACTGGTGAGCTGAGACAAGTCACTTCTCGGTCCATGTCTGTATTTTTACTCATAAACCAGAGACGATGGCATAAAAGCACACCGTAAACTGGCGAGTGCTGTGCATTTAATTGCACACCTACTACTGGCTTTGACAAGCTCCTCCCTCATCACTGAAATCACTGAGGCTGCCTCGGAGGTGGTCCTCTGCCCTTGTTCAGTGGCCAAGTGGAGTGGTATTCCACAGACCCCAGGCTGCAGTACTTTGTTGTTTCGTGAAAGGAAACCTGAGGTCTTTGGAGGTCATGCAGGGAAGGCAGGACTGGTTGTCATTGCAGGGAAGCACGGAAGTGCTCAGAGGGTCTGGCTACTGTTGGCGCAGGTGAAAGGGCAAGCAAAGCAGAGGGTATAAGGACAAGTTGAATGTGCAAAGCAAGAACTGGTGGGAGTAAGACGGATTTGTAAAATAACCTTTGTATTCATAATCCACATTCACACAAGAGAGCTTGAGAGCCTACGATGTGCAAGGCACATCTGAAGAGGGCTAGAATAACCTTTGGTGAATTTATCAATGATCATTTATTGTTCCCCTAATCGCCCTCAAAAGTGTTCTGGTGTGGTTAAAGAATACGTGTAAAGAAATCAAAGACCACTATGGTAAAAGAACACTGGGAGTGCATCGAAATTACTAGACGAACTAAAGAGTGGCTTTCAAAATACTTACGTAGCAACAGCAGAAGGGCAAAAATTATTAGCGCGATTGCTGCGGGTCCCAGGCCCACATAGGAGTCACGCAGAGCTTCCACACAATTGCTGCCGTCCAGACACTTACAAACTGTCAGTTTAAGGATCTGCTTTTCAGGGCAGCTGAAGCCCTGACTATCTGAAATCAGGAACTGAATTTCACTTCTCCCAATCTTTTGCTCCTTTTGTTGCAGTAACACACTGGTACCTACAAGGGTAGGAGGCAAAAGGAAAGGAAAATGAGTGATTACCAAGGAAGGGGTGAGATTAAATCACAGAAACATTCTTTAACTGCTAATAATATTGAGCTCCAGTTAGAAGCTTTATTCTTACTTAGCCTTTTTTTAAAAATTATTTTAAAAAATTTTAAGTTTATTTGTTTTGAGAGAGAGAAAGCGTGAGTTGGGGAGGGACAGAGAGAGGGGGAGAGAGAATTCCAAGCAGGCTCCACACTATCAGCGTGGAGCCCAATGCTGGCTCGAACTCACGAACCATGAGATCATTACCTGAGCTGAGACTGGACATTTAACTGAGCCACCCAGGTGCCCCATTGCTTAACTTTTCTATTGAATTCACACTGTTAAAATTAGTTAAAATTTGAATTGAATTTACATTTGTTAAAATTAGTCCAGATATTTCCAAGAGGAAGGTTAATAACAAAGGATTAGATGTGAATACATCTTCCTTTTATTACTTTTAACAATTGTGTGTAATGTCTACCAAATGCTAGGAACTGTTCTATGTACTGGGAATACAGTAACAAACAAGTTAAAAGTTAAATGACATTTCCATTAAATGACCTTTATTTTACCATTTCTTAAAAAAACCTTATCAAGGCAATTATCAAACAGACAGTAATAGAAGAGGGTAGTTAACCCTCATGGTACCCATCCCCAGCTTTCATAATTTTCAGCAATGGGCTAATCTCGTTTCATGTAGCTCCTTACTTCTTATTCCTGACACTGTATCACTATATATCCAAAATTTTGAAAAATTTCAAATCTACAGAACAATTCTAAGAATATTACAATAAATATCTATATACTCTTCATGACTTGTTTACATTCTATAACAATAGTCTGTCCATACACATTTTTCTGAGCTACTTGAAAGTAGGTTGCAGATATTATGATACACATCAGCATATACCTTCTAAGACCAAGGGACATTAGTGCTCTCAAAGAATTTGGTATTGATATAACCCACAGTCAAACATTTCAATTGTAATAATGCCCTTTATAGTTCTCTTTCTTTCTGTTTTTTTCCCCCCTTGATCCTAGATTCAATCAAGAATTATGAACTGCTTTTAGTTATCACGCTAATCTCTATGAATAATCTAGATCAGTTCCACTGTTTTTTTATTTTTTTGGCCTTCAAGACCCAGACATTTTTGAAGATGACTTATTTGAAAGGATGTTCCTCAGTTTGAATTTATTCGATTATTTCCTTACGACTGGATTCATTTTTCTCAAGAACATGACACAAAAAGTGCTGTATGAATGACCTGTCATTTTTTAAAATGTGACTGATGATTATTTTCAAACTTTTCTTTCATATGAATAAAAATAATGACCAGTGTTCACATGAGTAAAAATAATGATCAGTTAGAAGAGCTCAAAAATTGTCCTGACATCTTCATAACACTTATTTAAAAAGAATATACTTGCAAGACATGTAAACCTGATTGAATACAAAGCTAAAAATGAAATGTTTAGGTTTTGTTTTGTTTTAATTATTTATTTTTGGAAATAAGAAATAGCCTCTCTTCATTTTGAGGTTAAATTTCATGGGATCTGATCTGCATAGCTAGAATATACTTATTAAATCATCCTCAATGCTTTGGAGAAGTGAGAAAAGCATCTAATCGTTTAAAGGAACTTGAACTCAAGAAAAAAAAATCCATGAAGACTTGGCCTGGAAGAATATAATTAAATGTGTGATTGGCTTTGAGGGGGCAAGTTGAGACGGGAGGAAAGTCACAAAGAGGATTTCTATTTTATCCATCATTATAAAAAAAGAGGTCTTATTCAAATACGAGAAACTGTTAATATTCCTTTCATTCTAAGTGGTAGGTACAAAGATGTGCCACATCAGTCTCTGGAATTTTCTGTACTTTAAAAATTTCCCAAATAAATAAAAATAGATAGGTATTGTTTATTATCATGACAGCTTGCCAATCATCTTATTTTGTAATCAAGGGGAAGAAAGCTTAGTTTATAGAATCCTCTCTAAACCATCTAGATATATAGAGTGTAAATCTCAGTGACTTCCTCTTATAACATTCCAACATGTATATCCTTAAGAATTTCATGTTCCTAAGACTACAAAAAATTCAAGAACCCATCAAATTCAAACATCTTGATATTTAGATAGAAAATTCATTTTTGTATCCAGAAAGACTCCAGAGGCAGATCACTTAGGTTCAAATCCTAGTTCCAGCTCTTAACTGTGACCTTGAGAATGTTAATAAAACTCTCTGCCCTTGTTTCTTCATCTGTGAAGAAACTTCATCTGTTCCAAACTTCTAGGGTGGTTAGCATTTGTTGAGTGTTTAGGACGGTGACTGGCATCTCCCAAACATCATGTGTTTCTTAAATAAAATAAATAAGACTTGGAAACCCAGCAAGTTCAATGTGAAACACATTTACACATCTTAGTCAAAGAAAGGCCAGCTCCAATCAAGCATTCAGCATAGGTGGGAGTCCCAGACTTTTGTGGGTACAGAATTAGATACTGTGAATAAGAAGACCAACCACTTCTCGAGTTTGAAGCCTGTGACTTAATTACCATAAGAGGAATCATCTGGATGTCTGCCACCTTGGGCTCATGCTAGCTGCACTTGATCTTAAGAAGCATCAACTAATTAGGATGGTGACTGACTAAACAAGTACTTCATCCTTAGAGGGGAGGCAAATTTAGTTAACTGAGGGCATAACTGTCTTTTGCCAGTGAATATATAAACCCCAAGAAGATTTAGAATTAGGTACAGAATATTTATGCAATTTGAAGACATAGTTTTAATATTTGTGTATGATACGAAAATTATTTGTGTTTGTTACTGTGTTTTTATGTTGTTTGGAAAATTAGCCCTATTAATGCAACAGCTTTGTTAACTCCAATTTAAAATGTGTGAATATGTTACAGTCATCGCTTTGTACCTGTAGGTTGAAATATCACTGGTTTGTTCTGTATTGAAACACTGAAGAGGATTTCTGGTTTAGGGTATTTATAAGTCAAATGTATTGGAACTTTAGCGTATATAGATCACATGAAGTGAGATAATGCATTTTATTTGTTAATTCAGATCACTGAAATACATAGGAAAAAAATGAAATATACTTAATTTATAAATGTAGTCTGAGATGTTGAAGGTGTTTACTCTGTAAATTGGACCAAACATTATTCAAAGCCTCTTAAAACGATTGTAAAAATTTGTTAGATTTAAAATAACAATACACCTGTAAAGTAAGAAAAGCTTGGGTACTATATTTGAAACTTTTCTAAAATGACCACTAATTGTTTAAAACAAAATAGTCTTCTAGATAGTTTTTGGCATTCAAAACCACCCTGAAAAACACCCAAAAGCTCATGTCAACAAGGGGGTATGTCCAAGATATGGATATATGCACATGGCCATCTGGAATGGGGTGAGGGTCAGACAGACCCTTCTTTATCTTGTGTCCATCACTTACCAGCTTAATTCTAGTTAGGCCAAGATTCCTCAGCTGTAATCAGGGAATAAGTTATAGATTAAAGGACTGAATGAGATAATGCATATGACGGGCCAGCAGAGTGCCTCGTACATGTAAGTGATCCATAAATATTCTTTTAATGGAATTGTTACCATAGCTTAAGATTTTAGAAGACATCTACTCTGGTTGCTGTGCCTAGACAGACGACGTACTCCTTAGCTTACGAGACAAAACAAGTACTTCAAGAGCAGTTTAGAGAATACCTAGCTATCTTTAAGACATCAAGTTATTTTTCATCTCTCCCTCTTCTATTACTCCAAATCAAGTATTAACCATAGGCTGATGAAAGACACTATACCTGAGCTTCTGAACCTCATTTTATAAACTTCTTTAAAAAATTGTATTGGAGGGGCGCCTGGGTGGCTCAGTCGGTTGAGCCTCCGACTTTGGCTCAGGTCATGGTCTCATGGTCTGTGAGTTCGAGCCCCACGTTGGGCTCTGTACTGACAGCTCAGAACCTGGAGCCTGCTTCGGATTCTGTGTCTCCCTCTCTCTCTGACCCTCCCCTGTTCATGCTCTGTCTCTCTCTGTCTCAAAAATAAATAAACATTAAAAAAAATTGTATTGGAAATATAATTTATGAAAAAAGAAAGCACAGTCTATATTATAAAGATTTTAGAATTCTATCCTGTTTATTTATTTAACGTTTATTTATTTTTGAGACAGAGAGAGACAGAGCATGAATGGGGGAGGGTCAGAGAGAGAGAGGGAAACACAGAATCTGAAACAGGCTCCAGGCTCCGAGCTGTCAGCACAGAGCCCGACGCGGGGCTTGAACTCACGAACCGCGAGATCATGACCTGAGCCGAAGTCGGACGCTTAACCGACTGAGCCACCCAGGCGCCCCTATCCTGTTTAATATTTAAATATGTAGTCTAGTGATTTTGCTTACTTTCTTGGTGCACTATTTGCCATTTTTCTGCCATCCCAGCTGGATTGTCGATGATGGAGAAACTGAAAGGCTCACTGTTCTGGTGCCCATCCAGGTCCTCTGCGGTCACATTCACATACCGCACGTCCTCACAGATACTCTGCACTGGGTCAACCAAAGTGGGGCAATTGTCATTGATGTCTCTCACTGTGATAACAATGGTGCCAGTGATAGTTTTTCTTGGATAACCTGAAAAATAATAAAGAAGAAATATGGATATGCTGCCTATATTGTTGACAATGGATATAGTTTGAATTATCTTTCCGATTTGGTGAGAAGAAGGTACTAACAAATTACAGCACTTTCTATCCTAGATATGTTTTCATACTCAAATCAAGTCATGTTTTTTAATCCACTAAATAAGTAGAAATGTGAAGGTTTGTCCATTAGAGAGATCTGGTTTTCCTACAAGAACAAAATGAAGGTCTCTGATGTTAAAAAATATTATCTAAGTACCTATAACCAAGAAAAAATAACTTATTTTATATATTTAATAACTTACTTTCTGATATTGCCAAAATCTTTGCAGTGTATGTACCATTTTGGACATATCTGGATTCAAAATCAGGAATTTTTACAAGTTTAATTTCAGATGTAACAGAATCCACAGAGATCCAGTTGTCTATGTCTTCCAATTTGGCATATCTGTTATAACACAAACATAAAATTAATTTTCACTTCTGTATAAACATAATCTCTAACATCTACAACTTTTCAAGTTTAATTTTTGGTTCATTATCTATGTTCTTGTTACAGGCATTAGTCTGAAATGCTTTGAACTTTTTGAAACTGTCCTAAAAGTCCTCTCTCTTTACTCTTTTAAATGTTCTTTTTTTGTTTGTTGTTTGTTTTGGGAGAGAGAGAGAGAGAGAGAGAGAGAGAGAGAGAGAATGAGCAGATAAGGGGCAGAGAGAGAGGGAGACACAGAATCCGAAGCTGGCTCCAGGCTCTGAGCTGTCAGCACAGAGCCCGATGTGGGGCTAGAACTTGTGAACTGTGATGTGAGATCCATGACTTGAGCCAAAGTTGGATGCTTAACTGACTGATCCACTCAGGCGCCCCCACCTCTCTTTACTCTTTACTGTGTATCACATTTATCTGGAACCTTCTGTATTTCTGTAACATACCCAAGACATATGTGCAAGGGTGACCAATTCTTGCCTACAAACCCAGGAAGTTTTAAAGTTGTTTTGTAGTCTATTCTATAGCTTTTTTGGGGGGGTGAACCTTTGGAGAATGACTTAGTTACCCAACAAGAACTGGTGGAGAAAATTTATTTGCTACTTTCTTACCTCTAAACTCTTTCAGGATGTAAGATTTAGACAGAATAAGACAGTAAGTTTCTTTCTTTCTTTGTTGCTTTTTAGCTTTCTCTAGCCAGAATTATTTTGAGGTGAAGGACCCAGCCAGCCTCTGCCTCACACTCAGTTGGTGGAGGGAAGGTGGTCTGGGGTTGGGGGATATATCTCCCTGCTTCTCAGTTGCAGGTACAATTCTGGGAAATTCAATCTCCAGACCTTTGGGGAATTATAATGCTGGGAGGGAAGGAATGAAGTGTTCAATTTTTGAAGACAGGAATTTAAAATAATTTAAAATAAGGAAATATATTCATAACTATCTCTTACCTTACGTGGGCTACTTGTCCAGTGTCTTCGTCAAAAGCTTGAAATTTTCCAATTATTTGACTTAGGCTTGATTTATCCATGCTCTCACTAACATGAATGGAGATTGTGTTACTTTTAAAATGAATGCCTTCTTTCACATTTTTCACCTTTACTTTGATGGGAATGGATGTAGGCTTATATTGATTCTTAACTGACTTGTGAAAAGCTGCTTTATTAGTGACAATAATACTGAAATCAAGACTCTTCGTTTCTTCATAGTCTAATTCCTGGGAAGGCAACACCAAAGGGAATTCTTTTAAAAAAGAAAACAACTAGAACACACATAAAACACACACACATACACACGCGTAGTTTTAATGTTAGATGTAACAACTTAACATATGGGGAATACAGCAGCACTCAGTATTCTAACTCATATTGATACCAAGCAATTAAAACCTCTGTCATTTTGGAAATTCACAGATGTTAAAGATTATTAGGGAGCATCCCCAATTTATTAAAAAAATTTTTTTTAACGTTTATTCATTTTTGAGAGA